ACTTTTGAGTTCTTTACCGGATAGCTGGGAGACTCTGGTGGTCTCGCTGAGCAATTTTGCCCCTGAAGGAAAACTGACTTTGACCCAAGTCAAAGACAGTATGTTTAATGAAGAAACAAGAAGAAAAGACTCAGGGGCAAGCAGCTCCCAAGCCCTGGTCACAGAAACCAGAGGGAGAAGCAAAAGCAGAGGCCGGAATAACAAATCCAGAGATAAATCGCAGTCTCAACCCAGAAGAAAATTCAAGTGTTATCACTGCGGTGAAGAAGGGCATATCAAAAGAAACTGCAAAGCTTGGAAGAACAGAGATCGAAGGAACAAATCAGAGAACGATAAAAATACCGCAACTCCTGTGATCAATGGGGAAGTGGTGTTGCTCTCTGTTGAAGAAGAAGAGTGTCATGTTGCAGATTCCTGTGTTGAATGGGTCATTGACTCAGCTGCATCCTACCATGCAACCTCTCACAAGGAATTCTTTTCTCTACACAAAGAAGGAGACTTTGGTAGAGTAAAGATGGGCAACAACAGTATTGCAAATATTGTGGGAGTTGGTGATGTGTGCATTCAAACTGATATTGGGTGCACAATAACACTGAAGGATGTGCGACATGTACCTGACTTACGTCTGAATTTGATCTCTGTGCATGCATTGGATCTAGCAGGCTATACTAACAACTTTGGTAGCGGCACGTGGAGGCTTACCAAAGGATCATTGTTAGCTGCTAGAGGTACAGTGAGATCGACACTGTACAGAACTCAAGTGAAGCTGGTCAAAGGTGGATTGAATGCAGTCGAGGATGATGCTTCGCCAAATTTGTGGCACAAAAGACTGGTCCATATTGGTGAAAAAGGATTACAAATTTTGGCAAGAAAGTCCCTCATCTCATTTGCCAAAGATTCAAAACTAAATCCTTGTGATTATTGTCTCTTTGGGAAGCATCATAGAGTGTCTTTCAGCAAAACCTCAAAGCTAAAAAAGAATATTTTGGAGATGGTGTACTCTGATGTATGTGGACCCATGGAAGTAGAGAGTCTCGGTGGTAGCAGATATTTCGTGACGTTTATTGATGATGCTTCACGAAAATTGTGGGTATATTTCTTGAGAACAAAGGACGAAGTTTTCAAGTACTTCAAAAGGTTTCATGCTATGGTGGAGAGACAGACCGGTAAACCTTTGAAGTGTCTTCGCTCAGATAATGGAGGGGAGTACTCTTCTCATGAATTCAAGAATTATTGTGCTGATCATGGAATCAGGCATGAGAAGACTGTACCTGGAACCCCACAACATAATTGTGTGGCTGAAAGAATCAATAGAACCATTATGGAGAAAGTGAGGTGTATGTTAAGAATGGCTAAACTACCTAAGCCATTTTGGGGTGAAGCTGTTCTAACAGCATGCTACTTGATCAACCGATCTCCATCTGTTCCTTTGGGCTTTGATATCCCTGAGAGAGTATGGTCCGGACATGATGTTAAATACTCTCATCTGAAGGTGTTTGGATGCAAAGCTTTTGCTCACGTAAGCAAGGAACAGAGACGAAAACTTGATGATAGAGCCATTCCTTGTATATTTCTGGGCTATGGAGATGAGGAATTTGGCTACAAGTTATGGGATCCAGAAAATAAAAAAAGTTATCAGAAGCAGAGATGTAGTGTTCCATGAGCAAGAAACTAT